AACAAGTTGGGGGAAATTAGAGACTTGACTGAATTTTTACAGGGAAGTTTGTTTGTCCTTACAACATGAGCAGCATGAAAAAACAAGTCCTTCTTATTCTAGCGTGTTCCAACCCACTGATAAAATTTTCCCTAGGTTTTATAGAAGATTGAATCCTCTTTCTCCTTCATCTCTAACGTTAATCTGTTCATTTCTGCACAATCTAGGATTTTCAAAATTATAATCTGGTCTGATGGTAGGTTTTCATTTTTCCAAAATTGGGCGAATACTATTCTTGCAGCTGTCAATACATGTAATATTAAATAATCATTTTCTTTGCCATAGTTAGGTCTTAATATATCTAACAGGAACAGTTCTGGTTTAAATTCTATCTGGATTTTCATCATCTTTTCTAACCATCTATGAATCTTAGACCAATATTTTTTTACAATAGAACATGTCCACCAGGCATGATAATAAGTACCTGGTTTTTGCTTACATTTCCAACATTTCCGATAAATTTTTAAACATTTTCGCTAAGCGAACTGGTGTCATGTGCCATCTATAAAACATTTTATATAAAATTTAGATTTTAGAGCTTTATTACATTAAGTATCAAGCTTGATGATTGGAAATAATTGTTATCCTATTAACTATGTTAATTATTTAAAGGAATATTACTGTTTTACCAAATGTCAGTTGTAACTATACCGATTTATTCTTATAAATGTCTAGTATTATATAAACAATAATACTCAACATGAAGATCCGGACGACAGCTTGTTCGCTGAATTACGTATTTGCTGTAGTTATTCACACCCTGTCCCCTTTATCCCGATTTCCCTGTACCTGCCCCGACCCCACTTTTTCCCTACCCATATAAAATCTAATAAAATACATTTTTTTTAAAAAAAAAAAAAGACAAGTCCTGGGCGAGTGGTTTGACGGGGATTGTTCCACTTCCATCTGAGATAATGTTTTCAAGTTGCCAACGACCTGGTTTTTCCCTAATGAGTTGTAAACATTCCGTTTCAATTTCAGAGTTTGGATCGGCACACTGAGTTGGAAGTGTTTAGTTTGAAAGGAAACAATTTTAAACTTGCCAACTTTTCTGAACTGTTACGATTTTGGCAGATAATCAGATTTGCGAGCTTCCGAAATTTCTGAACACTGTCAAATATTGATATAGAAGCTAGTTGGCTTTCTGTTTATTTATTAACTGTGTTTTCCTCCTAACATTTGGCTCATTGGCAACATTTAGAAGCTTACAATGATTTATTTTAGTAGATTATCAAATAGTTTTGCATGATCCTGGGGACCAAAAGTATCCTGAAATTCGTTTTTTGAATATGATCCCTTCTTCTGAACTGAACATGTTTTTTAATTCTGGTCAAGCTATACCAAAGAAAGCCGAGGAAGACACATTTTTTAATCAGTCTGGCCCAGTATTCTTGCAGCAATTCGGTATTTTGTCAGGAACATCTGACAGTGTGGCTAAACATGTTGCATGCACGGGTGTCCTTGAGAGAGTGGCTCTTAGCAGAAACACTTTTGCAAGACTAAATCCTTGCCCTAACAGAGTGGAATTGCTTCCACCCATCTCTGCACCCTCTTTTCCGGTTGAGCAGTAGCAGAACAAGGAAATAAGCAGAAGGCAATATTCCAGAGCTGAAATCCAGAAGTTAGACATACAGTTTATAGAAGATGAACTTGGAACAAAGAGGTTGGGGAAGTCTTGGCAGACTGTGGCTTCTATCATTGATTCAGCCCTTTTTAAGCAGCAGGAGAAAAGGAATGGATTGTAAATTGGTGATTAATTCATCTGCTAACACCTGAAGCTGTAGAGAGTCCAGCTCCCTGGGGCCATCTATTCTAGAAATAGCGGGTGAGTGAAAGCCAACTTAAAGCTGGAATAGTTTTGCTCAGATAAAGGAGAATATTTGTAGCTCAGGGTTGAAATGAGGGGGTCCTTGGTGCTTTCTGGGCTTGGTTGTTCTCTGGCAGAGGTTTCATTACGCAAACTAGGTGACATCATCAGCGCTAGTATCAATCTAGTTTGAGTAAAGAAACGTCTGCAAGAAGTCAACTAAGCTCAGAGAGCACCAAGGACCCCTCATTTTTGCTCAGAGGATAGGAAGCTTAGCTGATATGGCTGCAGAAATTGTGATGGGGAGGGGTGTCTTTCATGGTTTCCAAATCTAACAGAAGCACAAAAGTGCTGATCCCACAATAAGTTGGGATTAAACTTGATGACTTTAACGGATTCTTCCAAAGCAGCGGTTGCATTTGCACAACATACTGTATGAGACAAGGCTAAAATAGAGATGAATATTTTTTTGGGAGGGGGTTCAGTGTGTTGAGGTAACCTGGTCATTATTTTAGTATGATGTGTGTTTCAGGCCATCCGACTAAGCCATAATCCAGTTTATTGGTTCCACATTCCAGGAGACATCGTGTAGAAAGGTCTTCAAGAATGATTGGGCAGCAAGGTGGGGGGGTTAAAGTCGGGCAGTGACAGACTGAGAGAGTTTGATATCTTTAGTCTTGCAAAGAGAGAACCAAGGTTGGTTTAATAAGCCCCCTCTTCAGATAGCTAAAGGGGAGGAGGTCAGGACCTTCTCTTTCTCTGTAAAACATGAAATAATGGTCTCAGTTGCAGCAAGGCAGATTTTAATTGGATCTTCTGAACATTTCATAATGGCAAGAATAAGGTAACAATTAGCCAATTACCCAAGGAGATGGTGCGTTAGCCTTCTCGGGATGTGTCAGAGCAAGAAAGCTGAATAGTTACGGAACTTGGAAGGAATGGTTTAATTTGGATGCCAGCCCTGAGCAGGGAGTTGGACTGAATGGGGAAGGCAGACCTTTGCCAGCTCTTTGATTCCACACTTTTCAACTGCTACATGCAAATCCTTAAAGACAGGCACCGTAATCAGTGCAATCAGATCTCAGGGAAGGCATTTCACAAATGCAGGTGGGTTACAGGTCTGCATATATGAATTAGCTTACATTAGCTTATATGATTAATTCAGTTCTTTCCCTACAAAAAGCAAGACGGGGAAGACCCACTCAATTCATCTTTTAAAAAGAAGGGTTCCCCCCCCCCTTCTGCACCTTGTTAAATGCAGCACATATGAGTTTGTTTCACAGTGTGCAGCTGGGTTCTGTTCTCTTTGTGTCTCTACAAGTCAGCAGCTTCAGATTTGGTCTCCTTCCAAAGAGTCATTGATGTGGACCTTATTTGAATTTTCTCAAACTGATTCTGTTTAGTACAGGATGTCAGTGAATCTGAAGCGTACCAAAAGTATTATATAGTTTGATGTCCAGAATCATCTACTGAGAATTAACCCCCTTCCTAACATCTAAGATGCTCTAGCAATTTTCCATACCAGTTCAAGGTTGAGAAACCGTTCCTTCCTTCCTTCCTTCCTTCCTTCCTTCCTTCCTTCCTTCCTTCCTTCCTTCCTTCCTTCCCTCCCTCCCTCCCTCCCTCCCTTCTTTCCTTCCTTTCTTTCTTTCTTTCTTTCTTTCTTTCTTTCTTTCTTTCTTTCTTTCTTTCTTTCTTTCTTTCTTTCTTTCTCTACATTGCATTTGTCAGAAATGGTACAGTTGCAATCCGTCTACCCAAAATTTTATTTTACCTGATTTATTAAAGAAATGCCAAGCCTCTTGTAATTAATTACTTTCTTAGTAATTATTAGCTGTTCCCCCAAAGAGCCATTAACTAGAGTTTTCAAGGATGGCCTTTTATCCATGATGCACAATGTCAGGCTTGATGCCCGTGAGCAAAATGTTGAAGGTCTGTATCAAATCTTTCTTGAAAGCCTTACTTTTCAGTCAAATATGATTTCAAAAGTGGAAGAAGCACAGTTGTTTCCTAGGCTCCAGATATTATGGGAAATTGGCAAATTTGTAGGACAATTATTTACTTTGGAAAATGCTTTGTAGCAATCAATGATGTTGAAGGATATGTGTCAGGATTGAATTGCTGTATTGCCTTCTAGCCTCCATTGCTAATCAAGTTGCCAATGAAAAGGGGGGAGGGTGGAAAGGGAAGGGAGGAAATGGGATGCCAAGAAGCCATTCACAAACTGGGAGAACCTGCAAAACACCAAGGTCACTACTGCAGGTGCTCAATGGAGAAGTGGACTGTTCCCTAACAAAAAGAAGTTTTCCCTTTAAGAAGAGACTGGACAGTCACTTATCTGAGATGGTATAGGTTCTCCTGCTTGAGCGGAGGGCTGGAATAGAAGACCTCCAAGGTCCCTTCCAGCTCTGTTCTGTTCTCTTTTGTTCTTCTACCACTGGACAGTGTGAACACCTGAGGGGTGGGGACAAGGGAATCTATTGTTTAACTAGGCAAGCTTTTGCACTGGAAAAAACAAAGCTGGTTTACCTTTTTCAGTTCTGAGATGGTATATCTTTTGGGACCTGAGGGCTCCTTTTTGGGGGTTTTCCAGTTGGACCATTGACAATGCTATCCCTATAGGGCAGGGATGAAAATAGAGGGTGGTAGCTCATGGATGTAAGCCTAATTTCACCAGATATGTGACTCATAAAGCTTCATGTTCATCTGTGCCATCAAAGAAGCTCTTGAGTGCTAAGGAATATCATTGTTCCAGAGATCTAGATCATAGGGAAGCAAGCAGCAAGAATAGACTTATCGTTTCAATATTACAGTAGAAGATATTGTTTCCAGACTATGATTCTTTTGCAAAATAGGGAGCCCTGTTTCCTATTGATCTCAATAACTTCAAAACAGAGACCTGAATTCTGCATTAGGGGCCAGTTTAGCAACCATATGAAAGACTTTTCACGTTTGTAAATGATGGATGAATAGGAATCAAGATTACCAATGTCACCATAGTTTAATTTTTCAGTGAGGGAGCTCTTTATCTCTTTGCTGTTCTCTAGAAAAGAAGTGGATCAAAAGGAGAGACATCCTCTCTCAAGTGAGAGGCCTTTCAGCCACAATCAGTGTCTTGCAATACTTCTTAATTTTGCTATCTTTGTTCTCCTAGTTGCAGTGAAACAACTCAAGAAAAAGAGAAACTGAATAGAATTGAGAAGCGCATCCAGCTATTATCCAGATAAGAACTTAAGTAATGGGTGCATTCAATAATTGTGACTCCTTCATAATTTAATGAAGAGCTTTGAACTCCAAGCCTTGGTAAGCTGCTTGTTGTCCACTTAATTACGATGTTCCCATTTAGTTATACATTCATAACTGAACAACCGGGAGATGCTATTTTTGGATCGTATTTATATAGATTGTGCTGCAGGATACTTCAAAGATACTAGAGGGTATTATTTGCTGTTGTTCTAACCAAATAAGTATTCCATCTTCCAGTTGTTGTTTCATTGCAAAGGAGCCCATGTGACATTGAATCAGGCGTCTGCACCTTAAGATCCCAGAATACCATTGATGCCCCAAAGGATTTCAAGAAATTGCATCTGACTTTTAATACGACGGAGGGGAAAATTGTACAAGCAATATTCTTGCTAACTCAATAGAATTAATTTTAATTAGATATAAATGTCAATCCAATTGCATCCCTATTAATTAAATTGGCTTGGTCCCCCTCGTATCTTTGTCTTGAGTCAACCTAATTTGGGTAGGTTTCTTCCTGGCATGCCATGTGAAGGGCACGTGAAGCTCTCGGCTTGAGAAAATATTTGCCTTTGAGCATTCAAGACTGAGGTCGAAACTAAGGAGGCCACGATGGCATTGTGTCTATGGAGATTCTCAGTCATCCAGGTCCTGGTTGACCCAAAGGTGCTTTTTTTTCAGGAGGCAACTGGTCTTTCTTGTTTTTCTTTGAAGACGTTTCGCTTCTCATCCAAGAAGCTTCTTCAGCTCTGACTGGATGGTGGGGAATGGAAGGATTTATACTCCTTGCAGGCAGCTGGTCATTTGCCTTCTTTTAGAGAGTCCTTGAGGCCATTTGGAGGTTTACCTGTGTCCTCAGGGTCATCTGAGTGGTGCCAATGGGTATGGAGCCTTCGTGGCTGTAGGATGTTTTCTGCCTGGGTCCCTTCACTGTTGAAGACAGGCACAGGCTGTTGGGGGTGAGTCTGGGTTGTCTGCATCTCAAACTGAAGCGCAGATGGTTCCTGCGGTCTGCAATGTTTTCTGCAAATCCATTCATACTCCCTCGCCATTCGAAGGGTGTCCATGCCAAAGTGCATTCTCAATCTTGGATGCTTATTGGGTAACACCGGGCCAAGTAGAGGCCAAAGGTAATAGATGCATAGTTATGAACATAACTAACTCCTCAGCTCTTCTAGTTCTCACCTTCATGCTGTTAATTAATTATTTGATCCATTGAATTTTGGGGTGGTGGGTGGGTGGAAGGAAGGTCTTTTTGAATCCTTGGTGTTTTCTGAACTTGGTTGTTTGCTTGCAGACATTTCATTGCCCAACTAGGTAACATCATCAGTGCTAGTGAGCATGGAACAGTACACTCTGCATTTCTTTGCACTGAGAACGTAACCTAGTTTAGAGAAGCAACCTAGAACTAAGGAGAAATTTCCTGACAGTTAGATTAATTAAGCAGTGGAACAATTTGCCTCCAGAAGTGGTGAATGCTCCATCACTGGAAGTTTTTAAGAAGAGATTATTTGTCTGAAATGGCATAGGATTTCCTTTCTGCGCAGGAGGTTGGACTAGAAGATCTCCAAGGTCCCTTCCAACTCTTTTATTCTGTTAGTTTGGTGCTGAAACATCTTCAGGCAGACATGAAACCCAAAAAGCACCAAGGACTTCACAGTTCAACCCTGAGCTACAGATAAATTTTCTTCTAGAGGAGGGTCCTTATCAAGATTTAATGGTCCAGATTGTCTATTTATTCTGCTAATCAGTGCCAAAGTGGACACACTGACCTTATGGATATTGTTTAATTAAGCTTATCACTACAGTCCCAATCTCACTTCCCAATGGATAATTGTAACTAATTCAATATCCTCTCTTAAGGATCCTCACAATAAATGCCAGGGGCTGTAAATTCACTGCCAAGAGTCTCCCCTCCATCTCTGCTATATGCAGCAAGGATGTCCTGGAAGGCAGAAGAAGGACCATTGGACTCTGTTCTATTCTGACCATCAGAGTTTCCACTCTTTCTTGAATGTAACCAGGTTACATCTGCCTCTCTGCTTTTTACTCGCCCACATTTAATTGGCACACATCCCTTTCAACTTGTTTTCTGAGACTTTGAATTCTGCTGCTCTTATTATCTGAAGGAGAAGAAGAGGCAAAGCCTGGGGACAGAGTCAAGCAAGTATAATAGAATAACAGAATAACAGAGTTGGAAGGGACCTTGGAGGTCATCTAGTCCAACCCCCGGCTCAGGAGGAAGCCCTATACCATTTCAAACAAATGGCTGTCCAGTCTCTTTTTAAAGACTTCCAGTGTTGGAGCATTCACAGCTTCTGGAGGCAGGTTGTTCCACTGGTTAATTGTTCTGTCAGAAAATGACTCCTTAGTTCTAGGTTGCTTCTCTCCTTGATTAGTTTCCATCCGTTGCTTCTTGTCCTGCCTTCAGGTGCTTTGGAGAATAGCTTGACTCCCTCTTCTTTGTGGCAGCCCCTGAGATACTGGAAGACTGCTATCATGTTATCCCTTGTCCTTCTCTTCATTAAACTAGACATACCCAATTCCAGCAACTGTTCCTTATATGTTTTAGCCTCCAGTCCCCTGATATCTTTGTTGCTCTTCTCTGCACTCTTTCTAGAGTCTCAACATCTTTTTTGTACTGTGGTGACCAAAACTGAATGCAGTATTCCAGGTGTAGCCTTACCAAGGCATTATAAAGTAGTATTAACACTTCATGTGATCTTGATTCTATCCCTCTGTTACTGCAGCAAAATGGAAGTGTTCACAAATCAATCAATCAGTCTAGGACTTCATGCATTAGATGTTTGGGGTGAAGGTTTTAATAAATCTTAAGAGCCTTTAAAATATTTTTCAAAGTTTGTCTATCATATTTCTAGGGCTTGCGTGCTAAATAGTTTGAGATGTACCTGACTCCTATGATTTGGTTTTATGATTTAAAGTCATTGCATGTGTTGACATAATTTGGGAGAAAAAAATAGAGCAGTCAAAGATGTACATTTGATATTAAATGACACTCCCAAATTACTGTATGGAATTTGATGTTTGATGAAAAAAAATCAGTTTCTATTGAGCCTGGGGTCCAAGAAAGATAAAAGAGAAGTTAAATAGTTAATTCAAGAAATGTGTTCCCATTGATTTTTGAAATGTCATTATACTGTAAAAATGAGAAATTGGAGCAAGATATTTTTATATGAATTAGATGTGATAATAAATTGAAGACTCAGTTAGATCTTTATTAATATTCTATAGATTTTTTTTTTCTTCTTTTCATTCATTCAGTTTTAGTTCACTTCAGCCATTCTGGTTAATTTCCTTTCTGACTGTAATCACTGCATTATTATTATTCTCTACTGTTTATTATATGTTGGAGAAAGAAAAAAATGTACAGGTTTGTGCCTTTGACAAATAAAATGAAATCAATTAGCTGTTAAACATCTTCTATCTGGCACCTGTTAATGTTCTCTGACTCATTCTAGATTCTGTTTCCTTTTAACGTTTGATAAACTTGGCATTGCTATCCTGAAAATCCAGCCATCTCAGGCTCCAGCATAGACATTAATTAATTAACTAAATAATTGATATGCCACCCATCTCCCCATCAAGCAGCTGCATTTTGCATGCATACAATGATCTACTAGCTGATTCTGAAAAAAGAAAAAAATTACATCTAGATCTGCACGGAGAAAATAGAAAGGTTCCTCTCCCTCTTGTGCCCCACAATAACAGTCTTCAACTTTGTATGTGTGCGTGTGTGTGTGCACGCGTGCATGGCCTTAAACTTGCACCAGATTCAAAAAATGCAAGGAGAAAGTTCGCTTTGCCTGTTCTGGTTCTCTCCCTCTTCCTTTTTTCTCTTTCATTTGGGAAGGGAAAGGGGAAAGAGAAGAGGAGAGGGAGAGAATAGGTGAGGAAAAATGGAAGGAAGGGGAAGGGAAAGGGAGATGGAGAGGAAAAAGAGATGGAGAGGAAAAAGAGAAGAGAAGAGAAGAGAAGAGAAGAGAAGAGAAGAGAAGAGAAGAGAAGAGAAGAGAGGAAGACAAATAGAACAGAAGGGAGAGGGAGAGGAGAGAAGAGGAAAAATGGAAAGGAAAGGGAAAGAAAGGAAAGGAAAGGAAAGAGGATGAAAAGAAAGGAAAGGAAAGGGGATGAAAGAAAAGGGAAGGGAAGGGAAGGGAAGAGAAGGGAAGGAAAGGAAAGGAAAGGAAAGGAAAGGAAAGGAAAGAGGATGAAAAGAAAGGAAAGGAAAGGGGATGAAAGGAAAGGAAAATAAAAGAAAAACCCATGGGCTTTTCAGGGATCTAAAACTGGGAGAAAGACTCTCAGAATTCCTTCTATTGAAGAAGCGGGGAGAAGATTTCTGCTTATTTGGCATGGGTGATTTTTCTTTTACCCTCCAAATCTCCCTGAAAATAATAACCAATAATAAATAATCAGGAGCAAATTGCTTTGCCTACTTTTTAAGCATGATGCTCAACACCCAGCAAGTCAGTTATATATCGTCAATAAAGACAAAAGCAGCCCCCCAAAAGAATATGTTCCTTCTTTTAGCAATGATAGCTCCATCTCTTAGCTTGCATATCACGCTAGTTGATACAAATGGCTTGATGTTTTTCTTTTATCTGCTAGCAGTTTACTGCAAAACAAGCAAACCAACCCGACAACATTCAAAGTACTTTTGTTATGAAGTTCTCCATTTCAGGACGATGGGGGGAGGGGGGAAAGAGGCTGGTGTCATAGGATGCTCTAACATTCAAGGGCATAGGAAAAAGCAGGCATGTAATTATATGATTTAATTAAATGATTAAGATTGAAGTGAAATCATTCTTAAGAAGCAAGATTGGGGTTGTTTACTTTGGGAAGAAGGCAGAAGAGAAACGGAAAGGAGGAAGAGAGGGAGATTTTTTTTTTTTTTAAAGACATTGAAAAAGCTGATCTTGGCTACCTTTAGACAAGAAATGATAGACATCAGTAAAATTGAAAGCCAAGGGAGTTATTTGCTTGCAATTATAGAATCATCAACATTACAACAGCTGAATTCACACAAGGTATGATCACCT